GCGAATGCAAAACACATGCACTGAATTGTCTAGTGTCAAACCACTGCCTTGTCTATAATAGGCTTTTTTAATGGACTTGTGCCTGTTTAAGATTAAGCAAAGGCCATCTTGAGGGCAGACATGTGTTTTTAGGTAATACAAAAAGAAATACCATGCATCTGTTGTTTCACCCTCAATAATGGCAAAGACATTTGGAAAGATTTTGTTGTTACCATCTTGTGCCATTAACTTGAACAATGGGCTTGCAATATTTGAACTCATCGATACAAGGTTTAAATGTCCAAAATACTCGATGGAATTGAACATAATCAGGAACCATTTCACCTTTTTGGTTGTATAGTGGCCTTGTCTGCTTCTCAACAAGAAATCCATTAAGAAATATTTTCATGGAATTCAATAACTTGGGTAAATCATGGTTTGATTGTTCCTAATTGCAATGTAAATCTTCAATTTCCTTTTGCTTTTCCATCCATGCTTTTCGGTATGAGATTGTGTAGCCTTTGACACTTTCGATATGAGCTATTATTGTTGGGATTGAAATTGATGGATCATTCTCCACCAATGGAAGAATAATTTTGCTGATATATACATAGCCAAGGTTTACATGATCATGTGAGATAACTGAGGATGAATAAGAATGCTCATCTAATAGCCTATGAACCTCCCATTTTTCGCTTCTATTAATGAAAGTCGCGCTGCACCTCCAACCACATTCATTGTTAACACATTGTGAAACAATTAATGTTGGAAACGATTTCTTGATCTTGTAATACAGACATTTTTTGACATGATACGCGTTTAAAACATGTTTGACTTCCTCCTTTGTGACAAAAGTCATGCCTTAAAAGAGGGTGTTAGGAGCATATTGGACGTTAGCATGGTCAAGTGCATGTCTATACTCAGGATCAGTGAAATCTGTCTGTAGATCAACATTGTGCATGTGTGCTGGAAAATTGAATGCAGTTGAAGATGTGCCTACATACTGAGGTTGTTGTTGAACAAGATCTTGTGCGTCTTGTTCATCCTCTTATTAGAGTCTTACTTCATCTTCGTTCTCACTAAAAGGAACGACTTCTTCTTTTGGAACTCCAATCTCAAGTAGGCTACCATCGACTTCTTCTTTTGGAACTCCAGACTCAAATAGGCCGTCAATGCCTTGTTTTTCTTATAGGACTCCAAATGCAAGGAGGTTGCCAAAGGATCCATGCGATAATTACTTGTTGAGGTATGGTGAGTCATAGTTGCTTTAAAAAGGGGTAGAAAGCAGGTGGGTGAAAGAACTTGTGTGTGGATGAAAATGGTGTTCTATTGATTGTTGGGAATAATCTAAGGAAGGTTGGTTTTGAAAGGAAGGTGGAGGACTATTATTTATTTGTGTAAAATTCGCATATAGTTCAAAAGAAGTAAGAAATTTATGGCTACGAATCAGTTAAATCATGCCATGCATGTCTTCATCGTCCATTAGTTTGACAACTCGGTTTTGAAGCATTTCTCCGTCTACCACTTGTGAATATCGGAAGTAAAGGTGATCAATTGAATAACGTTGTGGTAAGTTGATTCTTCTTTGGATTTTTTTTTCAATGCATCAAGTGTGGTATGTGGATTAACCGAGAAAAAGATTAGGTCAGAGGATACAAAATTACCCCCTTCGTTTGTTTGAGTGATCTCACCATTGTAGAAGACCAACACATAGAAAGAAGAGGAAGACATTGTAGTAGATAAAGGGTTTGTATATCTAGATTTGAAAACAATAATACTTGGCTCAATGACACTCTGGATTTGAAACCAAGAATGCTCTCATTTAAATAGATGGTGGAGATAAGGTTGGATCATTTTCACTAATTAATATGGTCTATTCATTTTTATAGACATTTTGATGCACATGACTAAAGGCATTGGATTCTTGACGCTCTGAGACAAAGATATTCTGAATCAATGACATTCTGAATCAATGACACTCATGACTAAAGGCGTTGGATTCCTGACATGCATGACTAAAGGCAATGGATTCTTAACGCTCTAAGACAAAAGACACTCTGAATCATTGACACTCTAAATCAATGACACTTTAAATCATTTTCACTTTGAATCAATGACACTCATGACTAAATGAATGGATTCCTAACATTCATTACTAAGGGCATTGGATTCCTGACGCTTTGAGATAAAGACCTTCTTAATCAATGACATACTATATTAACTACAATAATTATAACGGTTACATCATTAAAATGAAAATAACTTCAATAAAAACAAGTTAAACATACTTGAAACATACTAAATGAAAAACATATGACATAACCATAGAACATTAGTTGTCCAACTTCATTTCTTGGTCAAGGTATATTTCAATCACATCCATCCTATGCAAGAATCCAATATATGTCGTCATAGCATACAATTCAAGACTTGTTAGGTCGTGCAATTTTGTGAACAATGAAAACACACACTACACATCTTTATCATCCCAAAGACGACACGCTCTATATTGATATATACCACCGATACATGAAATTGGGCATCAATAGTGGATGTTTGTGACAATTTTGTCATCAAGAAGATTAAGGTTATTATTAATAGCCTACTTAAGTTGTTGATAAGTCATCGTGTTGCTTACTAGTAAGGTTTTAACCTCATTTCTAACAAACGTAGCTCTATACTGAGTAGAGACAATTTGTCCATCATAATAAACAGTAGCCAGAATAGTGAAAGAATCCATTGATGCGATGCTTCAATTTGATGCATTTTAGACTTTGTTACAAAACATTATATAGAAGTAAAGTAAGATGCTTTCCAACTAATGTGGACAAATGTAAAGTCATTGGATTCCTGACGCTCTAGGACAAAGACAATGACACTCTGTGTAAAACATTTGATTCCTAACATAATGAGACAAAGTAACTCATGACACCCTGCATAAAGTCATTGGATTCCTGACGCTTTGAGACAAAGACAATGACACCTTGCATAAAGCATTTGATTCCTAACACAATGAGACAAAGTAATTCATGACACCTTGCATAAAGTCATTAGATTCCTGACACTTTAGGACAAAGACAATGACACCCTGCATAAAGCATTTGATTATTCACATAATGAGACAAAGCAATTCATGAAACCTTGCATGAAGTCATTGGATTCCTGACGCTCTAGGACAAAGACAGTGATACCATGCATAAAACATTTGATTCCTTACATAATGAGACAAAGCAATTCATTACAATAATATTATTTTTCTCACTTTTTTACACTCTATATATGTAACGACCCGCCGTGGCCGTCACACTACGAAACAACACTCACACTACTGGGATATATAAATACTAAAATAGTATTATAAAATATTTACAACACAAGTTGCTAGTCAAACAACCAACATCAACTAGTTATATACAACAAAATATGCTACTGCAAGGTAGCCTACAAAAAAAATATCCATCTTCAGGCACCTCCTGTGGCCTCTAGCAGCTATCTCCAGTCTATCCCTACCTTGCTCCCATACAACGTATGATCATCGTAGTCCAAACCACATGGAAATTAACATGCAAGGGTAAGCTAGAGACAATAAATAACTCCTAATAATTTAATCTGCAACATAACAAATATACATCTAAATATCATTTTAACCTGATTTCACATATCAACACTTCAACGTAACTACTTTACAAACCATTGGAATAATCACCATATTCATCATAACAACAACCAACACATGTATTAAAAGCAACTTACAACACAAGTAATCTAGCGACGCTAGCATCATCATCATCAATAAGGTCAACATATAACACAATTAAAGCTTAACCACACAACAACATATATACTACTCATATCAACGACAAATCAACTCATTAACAACTTATGCGTCGTCATGCATTTTGACTCGGAGATCTCCTACAACATGGTAAGTAGTCTAAGTGGCTAGGTCCTACCAAACCAACAATACAACACATTTGGATATCAATCCACAACACAATAATGGTTTCTCAGACTTTGCCACTTAAACAAGGAAGTATAGTACTCGGTTAGGAACTAAGTTCCTGACTTCGTACTTTACTCAAATTGGCCACTTGTAATCGGTATAGCCCGACCTTGCCCCTATACCGTGGTCGCTTTATACACGTGTGCCTCGACCTTGCCCACACACGGGATCAACTAAGTCCTAGAGGAGAACAAAAAATTGACCGCTCCAAGGAACAACTTCCCAAGGAGGGTTTTATAATAAATTGGGCTCTCAGTGCACCACAACTATCTCAATCCACACAATGGGATGAGCAACTTCGAAAACATCTCTCCTAGTCCTAGTGATCAAAAACTTATCATCACAGCTTAATCAGCTTACAACTCAACAACACAGCTTTACAGCAATAGGCATTACAACAACTTTACAACAATAAACATCTTAACAACTTTACAGAAATAAGCAACTTAACAACTTTACAACAATAAGCAACTTAATTAACTAGACGCTAGTATTCTTAACCACTTCTGGTTCTACAAGTACTATCGGCCACTCCTGGCCTGTCGGCTTCACTCACCAATGCTAGTATTCTCAACCACTTCTGATTCACAAGTATTCTTTCTATGATGATGAGTTTGCGTCTTCCATGAGACAAATCTTTGCTTCTTCATCTTCCTCTGACGATGTTGTGTCAAGATCCTTCCAGGTGGCCATCATGGCTTTCTTCTTTTTGAAGGGGATCAACTTTTTCTTCTCTTTTTCCTTTTCTTTTTCAAGTTCCGGACATTCTGTTTTGTAATGTCCAGGTTTCTTACATTCATAGCACAATGGTTGTGCCTTTTCTCTAGAAGGTTTTCCTCCATCGTGTTCCTCCCTTTTTCTTCATCATTGAATGAATCTTCCTTGATAGGAAGGATATTTCATCGTCTGTGTCACAGGTTCCCTCACTGCAGCTATTATCGGACGTATCATTAATCTTTAGCGCTTTTGAGGAGGATGGTGTTGATTTTGTCTTTTGCACATTTAACGCAATAGACTTCTATTTTCTCCCAGCATCATCTTGTTGTAACTCCAGCTCATGAACTTTAAGGAGTCCAATGAGTTCCTCTAGAGAGAGATTTTCCATATTTTTGGATGCTCTGAAAGTAGTGACTTGTGGTCTCCATTTTCTGGGTAAACTACGAAGTAATTTGTCAATATGATCAAAATTATCATAAGTTCTACCTAGGAAGGAAAGTTCATTTACGATGGTTTGGAATCTTCCAAACAAAGTCTGTATAGATTCACTTTCTTCCATCTCAAAAAGTTCATACTTACGTGCCAACAAGCTTAGCTTGTTGCGTTTTACCTCTAGGGACCCCTCGTAGGTTAGAGCTAGGGTGTCCTACATTTGTTTGGCACTTCTGAAGCTGTGAACTTTAGTGTATTCCTCTTCAGATAGAGCACACATGAGCGCATTGTGTGCTTTGGAGTTCAGCACGAATCTTTGCTTTTGCTCTTCAGTCCATTGTGCTCTGGGTTTCTTGTTGCCAGCTTGATCTAGGGGAATGTAGTTTCTTTGCTCAACAACGTCCCACATGTCTATATGACATGCATCAAAGAATGCAATCATTCTTTGCTTCCAATAAGCATATATTTTTTTTTTGAAGAAGGGTGGTCGGTTTACGGCTTGTCCTTCATTTTCCATGATCGTTTCGCCTGCAGTGTTAGATGCTCAACCCAAGGGGTCAAGCTTTGATACCAATTGAGATTAGCAGAAATACACACAAAAGGGAGGGTTGAATGTGTGTGTTCGAATTCGAAGGAAAATTTTAGAGTTATTTCACAAGAGTAGTTTTGGAAAATTTAAGTAGAATCTTCGTCTAGTGATTTTTGTTTTAACAAAACTAATTTTCAACGTAGAAGATTGAATAAACTGGTTTTTAGTCTGGAAAACGTTATCGTCTGGTAAAATAGTTTTAACAAGGTCAAATAATTTTTCATCCAAAGCTTTGTTGAAAAACGAAGTAGATCAGGTGCAAAGTATGTAATGCTGAAAAGTAAAAAGAATGCACAGACAGTTATACTGGTTCACTCAATCTGAGCTACGTCCAGTTTCTTTCTGCAGAAGGGTTCCACTAATCACAAAGGATTACAAGTATTCTCAGCCACTTCTGGCTTGTTAACTAGACGCTAGTATTCTTAACCACTTCTGGTTCTACAAGTACTATCGGCCACTCCTGGCCTGTCGGCTTCACTCACCAATGCTAGTATTCTCAACCACTTCTGATTCACAAGTATTCTTTCTACCAGCCTCTTCAGGCTTTACAACAATTGTGGGTTTTGAGTGTGTGTATTACTCTCACAAAAAGGATTGGATAATTTCTACACTCACTAAGGTGCGTAACCTTAGTTTTTCTGAGATAGGTGTCTGAGTGTTTTGTTAAGCCCGTTCTCAACTAAAAATTATAGGTCAATTCAGTAGTTTGGAATGGCCCGTTCCAGTTTGGGAACGGCCCGTTCTGGACTATTGAATCACCCATACTGAGCCTTCTAAAAAAAATTTACTACGTTACAATATACACTACATACATTTATTGCTTGAACACACAAGAAAAAAATCAATTCTCTTCAACTATTGCATTGCATTCTTCAATATCGTTGCTCTTGTTCTTCAACAATGTCTACTTCATCTTCAACTATCTTGTGGAAACAACACCTCCATAAGTCAAATGAAACTTAAATTATGGTAAGTTAATATATATTTCATAATGTTTACAAGTAATATTATTCATTACTAACTTTTCAATTCTACAATATTCATAGACAACAAGTGGTCTAGTTATTCAATCTTACTTCATTCCATGCCTGCACCTAACCCAAGAATTGAAAATTTTTTGGAGGTTGTTGGCTTTGCTGACGTTGCAAAAATAAGACATTTTAAAATCGACGGTAGTTTGATAACATCTTTGGTGGAGAGGTGGAGACTAGAGATACATATTTTCCACCTCCCAATTGGTGAGTGCAAGATCACTTTAGAAGATGTTGCACTACAACTAGGTTTGAAGGTCGATGGAAAAGTAGCCACTAGACCTACTTTCTTTGACTGGGAAGAATTGAGTTGTTAGGTTTAGTACCTTCAAAAAGGGAAGCTCTAATTGGGTCGACAAGAAAAACTAAAATGGTTAAGAGATCATACGATTGCACTACCAGATCGAATCTACTGAACAACAATTGCACCAACATTCTAGGGAATATATTTTAGGGTTAATTGGTGGTGTAATTATGTCAGAAAAATTAGGTAATAGACTTCACTTAATGTATTTACCATTGTTGGCTGACTTAGAACATGTAGGACGATATAGTTTGAGTTCTACTTGTTTAGCACTTTTGTACATGAATCATAACGAGGTAATTCAATGTTAATTTGTCTTAAACATACTCTCTTTTATTCAATTAATTTATAACCTAAACCTTTTTTCTATCTTAAGTTTGAGTGGATGCCATATAGGGGATTTCAGTCCACATTACCAAGATATGCTTACAAGGATTCCAGAATATTGACTTCTTGCACTATTTCAACTTTATTTGCAGTTGTAGTGTGTCATTAAATTGATAGAGTCCAATTGCAATTTGGCTTGTGGCACCTGATTTCCAATCAAGCATATAATCTTGAAAAAATGCACAAAATAGACATGAGAGGTCATAACGAAACCAACTGGGCTAAACAACATGTAAATTGGATTTCTATATGGAAGGAAAGACATAAACATGTTCTTTTTGGCCAACCACTTCAAGGGTCTCTCCAACACACTACTGAGTATTTGCAATGGTTTCGTGCAAAATTCTAAATTATTTCTTTTTATCCAACATTCTACATTTGGTGCATCCACTTCAAGTACATAACTCCCAACAACTATAGGATTTCAACAACATTATCTAACACCATAACATACCCCAATGGTTGGAGATAATGACCCACCTTATAATATGGAACAATATCCCCAATCTTATTCAATGAATCCACCAATTCATATGCAGGATGAACATTTCATGTGCACCCCACCATCAACAAGAGGTTCCATAGAGGACTTCATGAGCAATCTATTTGGCGTCGATGTAAACACACAAAAAAAAAATGGTATTTTTAACTACTCTAATCACACCAATGAAGTATATCAATTAATTCACTTCGTGGCCTTTTATTATGTCTCTACTAAGTTATTTTTTTCCTTTGCACAACTATTTCCAATAGTTTTTATGTCAATCAATCCAATAGTACCACTTTCAGGTCTCAAAAATGTTCCTAACACCTTTTAAAAGTCATTCAAAAATTGAAAAAATTAGACTTTCATACTAACATTCATTAGTTTATAATACAAAATTTAATGTATAATATAAATATTTCTTGTTATATAACTTAAAATTTTTATATAAATTAATTAAATTTAATTTAAAATATTTTTAAAAAATCACTTCTATTAATTATATATAATTATTAAAGAAAAATAAAAAAATATACATATTTAAAAATATAAAAAATGAATTATTAAATTAA